GTCAAGAAACTGTTTAGAGCAAAAGTTCATGTCATTTTTATTTTTTTCTGTGTGGTAATTGCCATATATTTGTGTTTTTCTAAAACATTGACATTTTATGTTAATTTCATTCAAGAGATTCTGTTTTTTGTTGAAACAAATAACAAGGCCTTTTATTTGCTGTTATTTTTCTTGTCAGCAGAATGTGAAAGGTTGTTCATAAAGTATTTTCTTATACTTTGAACAAAGAATTAAACCTCTCTGAGGATATATTCTTTTATCTTTGGCTCTTTCTAATATTTACATGTCCATTAATTCATTTCCTGAGAGATATTCAGCATCGAACGGCATTGTTCTTCAGACACGGTGTGAATGTTTAGCGTTCCAACGTGATAACGGTTGATAACTCGATAAAAGGCCTGGCATTTGCAGATTTTCATTGGGCAATCATTTGGTCATCTCAGTGATGTTGCACTTAATGTATGGAAGATATAAAGTATTGAGGTGCAGATTGCTTAACCGCTGAAGGTGGTCATTACGGGCCTTTGTCAGAACAATTGTTGAATGGTTTGATTTATCAGAACATGATGTTGGAATTTGATAGTACTTTGCCTATTTCTAAATGTTCTGTAGCAATGTAAATACTCGATCCAATACGGTAGCCTATATGATGACAAAAAGTTCAAGTCACAGACCGCTAATATTAGCACCAATTGGCAAAGATATTTAAGGAAATCAAGTTTTGAGTTTGGAAAAGTCATTTCAAGTACTTTTTTTTTTTACTTAAAACAGATCAAATTTATTATTTTAATTATTATTTTATTAACAGCCATCCATTCTCTCTCTCGCATCTGATTTTATAGCATATTGCTTGATTTGGTTACAAAGGGCACCGTTCTTGTCTGTATGGATGTAACAGCTATCTCAAGCCCACCATAAGTGAGAATCCAGCATGAAATGCACCCATTTAAACAATCTTTCAATTTAATTTTTATTGTATTTCACTTAGGCTATTGTACCGTAATGCATTTAAAGGCGCCTCTTTGGCATAACTATTTTCTGGATAAATGAATAAAACCAAAAGTTTGGTCTCAATTATCCTATCAACATATCATCAGTTTATCCAAATTAATCTAAGAGCACAAATGTTTAGGAAAATTCGACTGCGCGCAACAAACAATTTGTGATTTAAATAATGAGGTCGTTTTTCGTTTATATTAGGCTACTTTGACATAATAGCTATAAAGTCTACTACTTCGACGACTGCGCTATCTATCTACATGTGACAGTCAAACGAACGTTTACAATCTAAATAAGTATATTATGTATGTACAATCTACAATATAAAGTATCTAAAGTATTTACAGAACAAAAGTTATCATAAAACAATATGAGCTGGAAAGTAGATTTACCACTAGATAGAATGGCTTAGTTGTACTTAACGCTCATACTCTCCCCTAAATCAACCTTTGCAGCTTTGTTTCGCTTTGTCGCTCTGGATAAGCTCTTAGATAAACGAGTTTGAGCTGAAATTAGATTAGACCTTTGAAAGATGCCATGCACCGGCTGATGCCTGAACCGGTTATTACAGACAGATAAGTCTCCCAAATGCCATTCAGCACAAAAGGTGTAAATAGATTATCTAGACCGGATGTGTGCTTTTGTCTGTTCTGATCAACAAAGAGCAATGCATGCAACCAAGTATATCAAATGAACAATTATGAAATGTAGATGTGAAATAAAGTAGTCCTTTAAACTGTTCTTTGACTATTGGATGTTGTGCTACCATTAGTTCTAATTGGGTTTAGCAAATTATTTTTTAAATCCAAACAAATTAATTTAGACCTCAGAAGTAGGCTACACTTTAGCATGCCTTAGTCTTTTCCTTGTCTTTCCTCATCCATTTTACTAAGCTAACAAGCCTTGTGCACCGTCTTTATTTATTCATTTATTTATTTGACCGTGTAAAATGTAGTTGTTTAACCATAAAACTATTTCTTCGACACTATTTAGGCCTATTTTGTGCATCTTCTTGTCACTTATTAATTTCATCACGCCTAAAGTTAAGAACTTTTACTTTTTACTTTTCAGTTACAAATATTTTAATTAAATATCAACGCTTTTCAGTGTAATTTATATATACTGACATCCCGCTAAGTGGTTTTGAGAATGGATGGATGGATGGATATCTTAACATTTGAAAATGAATAGTACAGTTTTTACATACACTGTAAAATCCAATAGTTTACCTTACTTAGATTTATAGTTAGTTATCTTTACTTAGTTGTTATACTTACTAGGTTTTCATTCCCTTTGGTTGGGCACTTTGAACTTGGTTTACGTTATTATAATTTGCTTCCTGTTAATGCAGTAATGCATTATGAAGTTAGAGTTATTTGATTTCAAAGGAAGAAAAGTAATAAATAGGTTGCTTTTAGAAAGTGACCTATCTTCTAATTAAAGCATTAGTGTATTTATTGTGTGTGTTTATTAACGAACTTTATCAAATTAATTTTTTCTTAAATATCTTGAGATGATTTTAATTGGGTTTATATAATCCTTCAATAGTGTGTGGTAATGCTAAAGTCACACACAGACTTAAACATTCAGCACGTGAATCACAACAATGGTAACAATTCAATTTCATTTATTTTCATTAATTGTAACAATAACCATTTTATTTTCTCTTTTGTCAAAACAACCCAATAGCTGGGTTTGTCCCTTTTTAACCCAGCGCTGGGTTATATTTAACCCAGCATTTTTTAGAGTGTAGTTTTACACCTCTGGATGTGTCAAATTCTTGTTTTCTCAGGAGGTGTGTATAGCGGACACGAGTCTTGGAGCATCTATTATCAAAACTTGGACTTGGACAAAACTTCAACTTACATCCTAAATATTTTCCACTAAATTTTACTCGCTTGTGTTGGGATGATTTACAGACATCTCTTACAGTGTGCACTCTAAAAAATGCTGGGGTGTTTCAACCCAATGTTGGGTCAAATATGGACTAACTCAGCTGTTGGGTTAAATTTTTTAATTAAAGTTTTGACCCAAACGTTGGGTTAGTCCATATTTGACCCAAAGTTGGGTTGAAACAACCCAGCATTTTTTAGAGTGTGTCTGTAAATCTGGTCAATCTTCTTTTCAAACAAACAAGTTGTGTGTGGTTGATTTTTTTCTCTCCAGCGCTATACCACAGCCAATTCAACGTTGACTTATTTATTGCAGCTGTTGCCAAATTACGCACGAGCGTTAGGTGCTGACTTTCTCTCTCACCTAACTCATGGGAACAACGTTTATCAACGACATCTCACTTTACTTGTACAACATGTGGTCCTTCTGGCCATTTGGCAAAAAACTGTTAAATTAAACCGACGCGTGTCCTGACCTGGTTATGAAAACAAACGCACAGTGAAGAAGGCACGCGCAGTGTTTAGGCGCACGCGTTTTGCCATAATAAACGTGAAATCACTGTCACACTCTACTTCAAACAACAGGTCAAGTGGAAAGCAGTGTATAATTGTTTTCAATAACCTATCATCATTACCACCACACATACATTACATTAAATATTTCTGTTACATTTACATTTTGGAGGCTTGTGGCATCTCAGAGTCTGGAATAATAAAGCTTCTATTAGGACTACATCCCACTTTACCGTGCATAATTCACCCTACTTAGTCCAGAAAGGTCTACCTACTTCAAAAAGGCGAATAATACCTCAAAGTCTGTCTGTTTAATTAGCTTTGCATATTATTGCTTCAATAAATAGCTAATCCCTTTAGAAGCTTTTCGCCACAGTTTACGATTTGGACTTAATGCGGGTGTGTTGGGCAACCTGCTTTTAAAGCGTATACAGCTCCCTTACAAGTAGCGCCGTTATTCTAATGCCTTTTATTCGTGTGCGTTAATCCCCGGCGGGTGGGAAATGAAGGGGGACAGGTCCCCCTCCGCGGGATATTAATTGGAGGTAAGCATCCACAATGCGGACGTCTGTGCTTCAGCGCTTCTCCATTGCGCGTCTGATGGCCTGTTGCGCAGGGGCGGATACACACCCTGTTGACCGAACGCTTCAATGACATTACCCTGAGCAACATCTGGCCGCATGCACCACTCGCCTGCCCCTTTAATTAGAAAAACGAGTCGCCTCACTGGGCAACTCTGATTTCTATTGAATGCTTAATCAAAAGTTAAGTAAATGATGTCCCACTTTAAAAACTTCAGTGTACTGCATACTTGTGGCAGACAGTTTGAAGCTCACATACAGTGTTGTTCACAATTTGTAACAGAAAAATTGACACTTTTCAAACCGTCATGAGGTATTTTCACAGTTATTATCATTGTAAAAACAGCTTTTTGTAAAATGTATTCTTATATTTAAAATTTTGAATGAAAAAATGAAAGCTACATTTATAACACTATACTTTGTTAAATTATGATGGCATTCACTTACAGAAAACTAGTTAACACTGCTCCATGGGTGCTTCTAATACAATCTCTGAGAGTGTTGCAAACTTGACATCAATCACTTAAATTTTTTTTTTCCCCTTTTGAAACTTTTTTTTTTTTTTAAAGAAAAATGCTATCAGATTTTTTTCTTTTGATATTAGAGCAAATAGGAAATTATATGTTTTGTCATTTATATTCACCTCTACAGAAATTTACCCAACTATGACGACTTCCGCTATTGAGAATCCCAAGACACATGAAAAGGGTCCGTTGATATGAAAATTAAAACTTTTAACATATTAACTGCAAGCACAAAAAGAGGAGGCTGAACATAATTTAATCTAAACAAAATTTATTGATAACCTAATAGCATAAAACAAAAAACCAACAGAATTCCATTAACAGACATGTGAACAAGCAAGTGTTATTAGCAGGCATATTCAGTCTCTGAGTTTTGATATGAAAATTAAAACTTTTAACATATGAACTGCAAGCACAAAAAGAGGCTGAACATAATTTAATCTAAACAAAATTTATTGATAACCTAATAGCATAATAGCATAAAACAAAAAACCAACAGAATTCCATTAACAGACATGTGAACAAGCAAGTGTTATTAGCAGGCATATTCAGTCTCTGAGTTTTGCTGGATAAGACTAGTGTCCAGAATTATAATCCATTTAGACCTTCCCAACAGCCTGACCCTGAGCGCGCTGGTACTCCTGCTGCAGGCTGGACAGAACTTCCCGATGCTGCTCAGATTTCCTCTCCATCTCCTTCAGTAAAGATTCATAGCGCTGACTGAGATTAAGAGGAGATCAGTTAATGGTTTGCCTATAAATACAACAAAATCAAATGCAACGTCCAAATTCTTACAAATTCAATGCAGTATGAGCCATTATTCATACATACATTTCACCATTGATGTATTCTAATCTCTTGCTCACTGTTGCTTTGGCTTCATCTAGATCTTGTTTGACCAAAACTGGTCCAATTAGTTTGTAAACTGTATTTTGGCTATCCAACAATGCAAGCTCCTACAGAGGGATGACATACATGGCTTGATAAAACATGATCAACATAAATAAATAAATGTGTATATATTGTAGCATGATATAATTCAAAATGCAAATGTGGAAGATACATTGTAATTGTGTTCTTACCTCCTTAACGATATTATTTTCAGTCAACTGTGCCTCCAGTTTCTGTCTTGATGACATACTTTTACTGACATCTGTGAAAAATAAAACGAGTTAACAGCTTCTACGTTCACAAAACAAAATGTATGTGCATATAAATACAACGGCAAACCAAACATATTTAAAATGCACATTACTTGAATCTAACACGTTTCAACAAGAATAAGATAAAAACACTTTTTTAGTGACTGTACTGAGAAAGCAGATCACTATGACAGATCTGGACTAAAATCAATCAAACCTGGGAGCCTGATTTGGGACCACGGACACTCTGTACATTGTTAATGAAGTCAAATATAAAATACTATTAAAATGCATGTCAATATGCACATGCAGGGTGCTGGAAGAATTGCTAGCATGGATAACGTTAGCTGGCTAGCTAGCATTGTGATGATATACCTTTTTGCATTTGTTGATATTTCTCCAACTCAGACTGTAATTTCTTATGAATCGCTTCAGCCATCACACCAGCTATTCTAATTTCTGATCCCTTTATATATCGCCTAACTGATAACAAACAGAGGTAACGTTATCTTATAACAAAAGCAGCACACGGATCATGCACACAGTCTGGGGCGCACGGGAAATGACGCAACGCTCATCTTCTTCTTTGGAATTTTTTTGGCGTATTCCGCACCATAAGCACATACAGCCACCCAATGCTCATGTGAGGGTCTTGACATTCGATAAAAGAGTCTCTTCGCCATCTTGTGTTAAATTTTTTCATTGGTTTTCATCGACGCCTCTTTAAATAAACCCCGTGAAATGGGCAATAATCAAAAATTATAGTATTTTCACTCATTTGCTTTCCTATATATTTATATTTAAATATTGCGTAGTGTTCAATATAAATAATTTTCATACACAGTATGTATAGGCGCAGTCCTCCTCCAGTCTTATGGGGGGCAGTCTATCTGGTTTCACCAAACCATCTGAAGTGACAGTAAAAGCAATATGGCAGCGCACGTGGTTCAAATACTAACGTGAAGGTCTTTTTTTCGGGTGTACGTGAACACAAATTATCTCACTAGCAGGTAATGTCAATTATATCTTTGCTTATATCATAATAAAATGTATCTTCCGTTTTAAACATGTACCTGAAGTTGCTTATTAACCATCTTTAGATTAAAATACTGTCATGTGCTATATGCATGTAATAATGAATTATACTTTTTAAGCTCTGTTATTATTATCACTATTATTATGTCTACATTTTCGTCAAAAAGTGTTTTATTCCATTCTTTAGTAAACAGTGGGAAACTACAAAATACAGCATTACTTGAATTCTACAGGTTTATGATGGCAGTCAGTCGCTTATTTAAAATGGGGCTCTTTGTTTTCCACTATTTACTAATGTGGCCAATGATATCTTTACATGTATTTATTCCTGCATGTACTAAATATGTAAGTTAAATGTGTATTACGAGATGCCACATGCTTCCTTGTATAGAGCTTTGACAGACAGCATCCTCGAATTTAAACATCTCTGGTCATGTGACTATGTACACCAGCCATGTAAAAACCAAGTCAATTTTCATTTATAGTCGAAAACTCTGTGTAATAAATAATAAAACACCCATTTGGATTAACTAGATTATTGTCATTAAATTAACTGGATCCTGTCTGTTAACCAATCACACCAGAGCTGTGTTACATGTTGCTTAACTCAGTACCGTTATATTGCTGTATATTATTATTAATATTATTATCCAGGCACAACTGCAGGTTGGATGTGTTTTTGATATGTTAGAGATTATGTCAGTTTATCGTAGTACTGTAATGTTACTCAGAAGTACATAAATCTTAAAAGTCAGATTCTTATGAAGATATCATATTATGAGGTTAATCAGAGTGACAGATTGTTTTGTGCAGGAGTGAAAGTATAATGGTTAAGGACCTGTGCTGTAGGTTCAGTCCATAAATGACATAATATCACAGAGGAACTGAACATCTTCTTTCTGGTGTCATTATAAGACCACAGATTAGATGCTAATTTTGGCTGTAGAATATGTTGCCTGAAGTTCATTTAGGACAGTGATCATTTCAAGTCTGGTCTTTGTTTGTGTGGCACAGTTCGGAGCTGGTTGTTGTAAAAGACTGCTATTTGACACAATAGCAAACCTGCAAGCCTGTTTTGTGAGAGAGCCAGAGAAACTGCTCAGTGCTGTTGCTCATTTCACATGCAAAGAAATGCATTTTGTGAAGGACTCGGAGCAGCAAAAAACATATTGCTTTATTCTGAGAGAGGATAAAATTTGGTAATGAAACTATTTAATGCAAACCAATGTTATAAAGTTGACCTTGCGGTGAAATACATAATAAAACATTTTCAGACTGCAGAAAAATTAAGATATTAGACAGTTAAAATACACTCTTTGAATTTATCAATATAATTTGTTCCATAATATCTCACATTTTGACATTTGCTGAATGAATCTAGTGCTCATAAGTGTTTTAATGCCATTATATTTGACAGCAGTGATTCTTCAATGTCATTTGAGTATTCCCACCTTTTTCTGGTTTGCTGTTGTAAATTAGGAAGTAGTTTAGCTCTTTGCTGAGGTTATCACAAATTGCACTCTGCGGTCTTGTCAAAATCAATATGCACCTGGAGGGCATCAGAGGAATTGAGCTGAATTCTGAAACAGCAGCCTGCTTGCTGAATTGCGATGCATGTTGCACCATTGTTTGTTATAGATTAGAGGAGGACAGAATCTCAGTTCTGTATCTATGCTGGTTCATTTAGTTGCATTTAGTGAGCAAATGTTTTCATTTCATGTTTTCATTGTACACCACAGTGAACGCAGGAAGGCCAATTTTCCTATATCTTCCCATTTTGTGCAAACACAAGCTGGTCGAAGGAATTAAATCATTTTACCAGTCATTTCTGCTATGCATAAATGTTTTATGCACTTTCCTCCTCATTTATTTTCCAGCTCTTGTCTACTTTGCGAAAACCACAATTGCTTGCTCAGCAGTATTTTAAATGGGCTATTCTTGCCTCAACAAACATGTTTTCCTATGTCTGCAAGTTCAATTTGTCTCAAACCAAAAACAGATATATCAAGAGAGTGAGAATCCAAATGAACTGGCTGGCTTTCAAAAGTCGGGCTGTAAATCTATATATGTAAATGTGAAGCTGCAGAGGGAATGGTTTTGAGGTTCTTAAATCACTTCATAGAGTCCTGTCTCTCTTTGTCATCTTAAATCAGGAATGATGTAGCCCTGCTAATGCCATTGACTCCCTTGAGTGTTTCATTTTCCTGAAACCTGGTTTTATCCCTTTGAACCGAAGTTTAAACAGAACAGCTTTAGGTCTCTGAGGTCTCTTGTACTATTGCTTTCTTTGAATTTGCATTAAGATATTAATTCACTTTACTGAGTTTTTTTTTTTTTTTGCTCAACAAAATAAATTAATAAACCTGAGCCACGTTCATTTATTGCTAATGGTATATTGCCATATTTCCCCAGTGCAATTTAAAATCCCAGAGCTTGGCATTTCCTTTTTATCATTGTTACAGCCAAGATACTTCAGTTTGAAACATTGCAACAATTCATTTTCAGGCACCAATTGTTTGTACACCTGCTTCATTATTCTCTGTTCAAACAATGTAGAAAAAATAATCAAATAGCACTTTGGCTAAAGATTCATTTGTAGCAAACAAACAGATATGGATGTACCATGCAGTGATGGTTTCAGTGTTTCCAGAACTTTGAGCCTAAAATCTGAAATTGTAAACCAAATCAAAGCTAATCAAAGCATTATTTTCACAGGGTAAATTGTTTTGTCATGCAGTACATCTTCAAGTCCCCAATATTAAGCAGCACAACGTTTTGCAACATTGATAAGAATAAGAAATGTTTCTTGATCATGTGACACTGAATAATGGCTGCTGAAAATTCAGCTTTGCCATCACTTCAGTTTATTACGGTACATTTTAGTATGTACATATGTTCAAAACGGTATTGATCAAATGAATGCAACCTTGGTGAGTATAAGAGACTTTCATAAGCACTGAAATCTTACCAACCCTAAAGCTAGTATATTCATGCTGTTTCTTATTTCCTAATCATAATATTTCAAACAAAACATGTTTTTTTTCCTGAGAATATCAAATATTATTCTCAAGCAATTTAATCTAATTTGGAAAGCCGAAGAGTGCTTCAAAGCAGGAAACGCAGCAAGCACAGTGAAGTTTGACAGAACATGCCTGCAGTCCATATTCACTCATCCTCAGACTTTTTTTCTTTCATCGTGTATTTTATATCCCCATCACGTCAACAGAGTTTCTTTAAATGGAAAAGAAATTTCATGCATTTTTCTTCAAAACAGTCAGAAACACTGTTATTGTCGGCACCAAGTAAACCATCCCCCCAAAAAAGTAAATTGGTGCCAAACACAATGTTCTGAATAAATTGCTTCAATTCAATTCAACTCAACAGGATTGTTGATTGTCCTCTTCTGCTCCTGAATATGTTAAAACGTTTGTACCTCCTGCCAAGAAGTGGAGGTTTACCAGCAACCCAACCTTCCCTGACTGCCTCTTAAATTGATTTGAGCTTCAACATGCTTTTATAAACAGCAAAAATATGTTTGGAGAACAACATGAAATAGAACGGCGAAATGAAAGCCAGTGTGTGATTGGCATTTTAAATAAAACCCAGAGAGTAATTTTTAACACAGTGTATTCACACAGCTGGTGATAGCGGAGCCTATATCTGCTGCTTCTGCTCTCTACAGATAGCCTGTGTATTCTGAGATCCAAGACGTTTCAGTGCTTGTGAAAAGCTCCCTTTGCTTGAGTTCTTGCGTGCACAGATGCGAGGCTTAACTTGGCATTAAAACCAATGGCGCGTTCCAACGTGTGGCTAGTGAGGTGTGTTTATTTCACCTCTGTCCTCATCTCCCTTGCATTTATGAATATGTAAATAGTGAGGTTAACCTGGGAACAGAGCACTGTGAATAATTTAGAGATATTGTTTTCACCTGGGTTGAACAGTCACAGAATAAGTCAAGTTCTGCCGTCATATTTGCAATTAGCCTTTTATTCTGTCTTTTATTGCATTTGGTGTATATCAGATTATGGAGTGTGGTTTTTATGACTCCTGCTTCACTGAGCGCATATGTTTCAGGCCATTTGAACCACTCAACTAATTGATTGAATCATGTAATTGAATTCAGTCTTGAATAGAAAAACCAGGTACTACTCTTTTGCTCTTGCTTGTTGCGTTATTTCTGTGTGTTGCCGGTGATGTTTTGGTGCTTGGTGGCTGCCGTCCAATGTGCTCCATCGGCCATTTCTGATTCAGACCCATAGAGCGCAAGCTAACCGTAATGGATCAGCAGAGTGCAGGGAACCGTTGAAGGCAGCCAAGAACAGAAGCTCCTTGAGTGTGTGACACACCTGTACTTTTATCCCTTATCTCTGAAGGGCCTGAGGTCTCATAGCATTTCGCCTCGCGACTGTCTTCACTTACAGCATCTCGAGATAAGGCCGCTGTGCACTCCTGGGAGAGCATTTATGGATTGGAGAGCTTTTGTGTAACTCACTTCTCAACCTCTGGACAAGTATTGATTTTTTTGTGTTGAATTTTTAATGAATTAAGGAGACCTCAATAATTACCTTTCCCAACAGGCAAAGGGGACGGACAGACGTGTGGCAGGCCAGACACATAGACAATGTCTAAGATATCTAAAGCAGCCAAGGCGGTGAAAAAGTTGGACACTGGAGGTGTGATCAGAGCAATTGTAAGGTCTGGACAAGCGGCTCCTGGGCCTCCACTGGGCCCCATCCTGGGACAGGTAAGCTTTCAGACCTCCCTTTTTCTTTATTCTTTATTATGTTCATGGCATTTGTTATGACTAATGCAGTGGTTCTTAACCAGGAGTACCTCAGCCGACTTTTAAGGGCGACACAAGTTAATTTTAAAACAGGACAAAACAAACATTAAAATCAGCAGAAGAAAAATTAGGATATTTCTTACTTTAATACATCTCAACAGCTGTTTCAATTTATTGGTTAATAATAGAGAGAACCCTGAGGAACATAGAGTGCTGCAGGGATGAGGTATTTTTGTAGGCCAAAACTCAGAAATGAATTGGCATTTTAGCACATCCCATTTTTGAATGGGGTTTTTGGTTAAATGACTGAAATGAGGTCTGTGGTTAACACAAGCTCAAGATATATACAATTTTTATTCTATTACATACAATACATCAGTAATACTCAATTTTTTAAGCTTTTACTTAACTTGAAAAAGGCAATTGCTAACAAGTGGCTAAATGGGACTACAGAGGTTGTCAGGGATGTTAAACATCACAACGAACATGCCAAGTCACCTTTATTTCTGTAGCGCTTTATAGAGTAGAGATGGTTTCGAAGCAGCTTCACAGTATTAAACGGGAAACTAACAGAATCAATGATGCAAACTTCATCAAATATGAGGCAATCTACTTATAAACTCAATAGTCTGCTTTCACATCCTCACTGCTTATATTAGGAACTTGCAAACTATTCTAACTCAAACTTTCAGGGAAAATGTTTTTTAAATAAAGACTGAAAGAGTTGTCAGAAGCTTAATGGTGGTGACATTGACGGTTGTGTAAATTTGCAAAAATTTTCATGACGAACAAAATAGTTAAGACTTAAACTTTTGTTGGGCACAGAGCTTATTTTCCGCAATAATCCAAAAGCCAATGGAAAACTCCTATTGGGTTTTTGTCTATGGAACCAGGGAGAAGCTAACTTATGGGTTAGCCTACAAAAATACGTCATCACTGCAGCACTCTATTCAGTTTTTAAGACTTTTGGAATCCTGTAATTAAGTTGACAGAAAATAAGGGTGTCTGGCCTTTGAATATTGTTGCATATAATGGTGGTCTTTGGAGTTAAAAAGGTTGAGAACCACCGCTCTAATGGTTAGGAATGCAGCAAGCACAACATAAACACTGCTGTTACAAGCACATCTGCAGTTGTTGCTTCTTTGACCATTTAAAGTTGTCTTCTGCAGGAATTGAATGTTCAGAAAGAAAATCTGATTTCATATATTTACAGCAAAAAAGTCTGTCTTGATCACCGAAATGTGATGTTTCTCTACAGGTTTTGTGTTTTTCTCCACCATAGGGACTGACTTGAGAAACTGTTTAGCCAAATGTTGACAAAGGCTTACCTCTGCTCTCATATGTAAAGCACATTCATAACTAACAAGCTAATTACAGATGTAATGATGTCATTACAGTCCCTTGCCCATCATGATGATAATAAATGAGACACATTTTCTTCTGCCAGCACAAGTCAACCTGGCCTCCTGAGTGTGCTTGCCTGCTGAAGAAAGCTGTTGCGAACTAAATATGATGTGTAATGAGCATCAGTCAAGCAGAGCAGCACCATATATCAGTTAAACACATGCAGTCGCGTGTTTGTGCATGTGTCTAACCGTGCTCTTGTCAGCTCTATTTAAACTCTGCTTTGCCTTTGTGCCTGTGCTGCCATCTTTGGCTCAACTTTTATGTGTATTAAACTGTAAATAAATTGCAGTCAGTAGGCCTTCAGCTTACAGCTCTGGCCCTTTAATCTTCCCGCTTTCTCCCTCCTTTGTTTTTTCTTTTGTCTGCCTAACCATTCCTGACAGGGTAAGCGCATAGAGGTAGGCTGCCTGTCGGCCGGGGGGCAAATTTAAACAAACGAGAGAAATAAAAGAGGGAGCTCCGGAGGAGAGGGGGGAAGCTGACAGCTTCTGTGGAGGAGAGTAATTACAGTCCAGAGAGAAATTAACTCAGCCGGATGGAGGAGAGAAACAGAGGACAGAATAAAAGAGGGGCGTATAAGACAATAGTTCAAGTGTTTTGTCCGTCAAGACTAGGCATACTAACACCGTGTTTTTTCAGTGAGGTAAATGAGTGAATCTCTGAAACATGCTCGCATCACATTTCACCCCTAAAAATCAAAAGGAAATCTATATATTTATTAATCATTACAATATTTTGCAATGAGACATTATTTTTTTATCATTTATTATTAACTCAGTCTTTTTATTCTTATTCCCATTACTGTATAGTATATATACTGTATATATATGTATATACACACACACACACACACACACAAATAAATGTACAGGAACAAATTACATTTTAAAATATACATATTCAAAGAGAAAACAGTTTTAAATTGTAATAATGTTTAACAATGTTACAGTTTTTACTGTATTTCTGATCAAATAAATGAAGCTTTGGTGACCTTAAAGGGGTGCTATTATGCTTTTTCACTTTTTCAACTTTAGTTAGTCTGTAATGTTGCTGTTTGAGCATAAAAAAGGTCTGCAAAGTTATCGCGATTTGATTTTGACTCAATATTTACACTGAAGCTGGTAGTGAGTGGCTATGGTGAGGGGCAGGACATTTCCCGACCAGGCACCAAGTGCTGCCAATCACAACACACACTGGCCCAGCTAACCAATCACAGCACATTTCGTATTTCCGAAGGCGGGCCTTCATTTGATACAGGAACTATTCGAGCCGTTCATGCCAGACTGGGGAGAGAGGTGTTGTAATAATGTAAAATATGTGAAAAATAATGTGTTTTTCGAACAACTTAGTATGAGAGCCTGTTCTAGTACACCCCCAAAACAAATTTTGTAAAAGAGCATAATAGGACCACTTTAAGATACTTTTCCCCCCAAAATATTTGAATATATATCTTTTAGATTTTAATAATTTAAATTTAAATTTAAAATTTTTTTTTAAGAATTTAGGGGGGATGTGCTTAATTGTCTTCAAAATAATGTCAGAATGCAAACAAAATGACTATATATCGTTATGCAAAACACTTATTTGATTCTTTTAATTTTGGGGTGAAATATTCACTAATTGAACATTGTGCATGTCTGACCTGCTAGTTCTGTTCTTTTCACTGATTTCTTTTCGTTACTGGAAAGCTGAACAGTTACAGGGGACATAACATGGAGGGCGTGCATTTAAAATGAAGAGAGAAAGAGAGAGAGATGAAAGGCTGAGAAATGGCATTCTGGTCTGGTTCATATCTAATATACCTCTGAAGCTAAACCAGCTTCATGTGGAACTGTTCTCTGTAATTCAATTAATTTATAGCTAGACTTATTTTTAGCATTTGTCATGCAAGTTTGTCCGCTTTTATGTTTGGTAAATATTCCATGTAAATCATGAATGAAGTGCGGTATAAGCTCTTAGCTCTTTGAAAAATGAGTCCCATTTTAATTCATATGAGTAATAATGGTTTATCAGAGCAGGGGTGGGGGGATTGTAGAGATCTTTTAGATTTTAATAATTTAAATTTAAATGTAAATTTTTTTTTAAAGAATTTAGGGGGGATGTGCTTAATTGTCTTCAAAATAATGTCAGAATGCAAACAAAATGACTATATCGTTATGCAAAACACTTATTTGATTCTTTTAATTTTGGGGTGAAATATTCACTAATTGAACATTGTGCATGTCTGACCTGCTAGTTCTGTTCTTTTCACTGATTTCTTTTCGTTACTGGAAAGCTGAACAGTTACAGGGGACATAACATGGAGGGCGTGCATTTAAAATGAAGAGAGAAAGAGAGAGAGATGAAAGGCTGAGAAATGGCATTCTGGTCTGGTTCATGTCTAATATACCTCTGAAGCTAAACCAGCTTCATGTGGAACTGTTCTCTGTAATTCAATTAATTTATAGCTAGACTTATTTTTAGCATTTGTCATGCAAGTTTGTCCGCTTTTATGTTTGGTAAATATTCCATGTAAATCATGAATGAAGTGCGGTATAAGCTCTTAGCTGTTTGAAAAATGAGTCCCATTTTAATTCATATGAGTAATAATGGTTTATCAGAGCAGGGGTGGGGGGATTGTAGAGGGCTTTAGAGGCTACTGATGGAGAGTGAATAATACCCAACCCCCCTACCGTATAATCTGCACCAGGATTCATTCTCTATCACCACATCAGAAAGTGCGTGTCTCTCTAACATCATACTCTGATATGTACAGATCTGTCATTGGTAACCACAATGGAAAAGACACTTCATGCTGTGGTAACTATGATACATTTAAAGGTGGAGATTAAAGAGCCATCACTGTCCATTCAGTGTACAAATGCCTGGGGTTGCCCATACAGGGGTCTAAAAATCTGAGAAAACATTGAGAAACTGAAATATAATTTGAATCTAAATAATAAACAAAAGTTTTATGGTTTTGAAAAATTTATGACATGGGAACTCTTAGTACAGATGCTTAGATGCTCTTGCTTCCAATGACCCAAAAGAGCATTTGTGCTTCATTCTGTGCTGGTTTCTCACAAACTTCTGGAGTTCATTCAGCTTGAGTGCTGCTGTCATGAAAGCAAAAGAGGGATAGTACAAATACTTAAAAATGTATGTCATTTTTTAAAGTCAATTTTGGCCTGAAATAGCTGTGCTGATAATATATTTAATGAAAAATTTGTTGAAGTAGAAAAGTGCAAAATAGAAGCATTTTTAACTTGTAATCTCAGGCTTTTGGACCTCACTGTATGTAATTGTGGGAAAAGTTTTACTGTTGAAGTGACTGACAGGTACTTTCGTTACTGTCTGCTCAACCATGAAATGTCCATTTAGTTGATGGAGGAACGGATTAATTTGTTTGTGAAAATTGTGATTTTTAAATGAAGTTCCATATCATTTTTGAAATGTTGTCATTAGGTTTGACAGGTTTGCACAAATTTACTTTAGAGCTGCTTCTGTCTCATATGTCAGACCAACAGATTATGGGTTGGGCTGAGACCGGTTAACAATGGTAGAGGCAGGTGTCT